TCCTGCATCAGCAAGGTCTCTCATGTGTTTCTACGTGTGCCGTCCAAGCCCTCCTGCAAAAGCATAAAGAAGCTCCAAGGTTTAGGACTGTGAGAAAATAAAATAAAAATAGTGGCTGGCCACAGAAACTGAGTGCAGCAAGGCAAGCAGGATTCCTCTTTAGAACTGGAGGAGGTCCAGCAGCGCAATCAGCTCAGAAAAAAAAAAAGAAATGAGTGGGTCCCCGATACAGTCTGGAAATATCTCGTCTTTGTGTAATACGTGCAGCCAAAAAATTAGGTGCTCCGGACTGATGTAAATCTATTTGGCTCTGACAGAATGCAGTTTGTTTGCTGGAGGGTTGGAGAGCACGACAGGAATGACTGTCTGCAGGCAGAGTGCAAACTACACAACAGCTCTTCATGTATTCTCGTTGTTTTTTCTCCTCTTTCTTTTTCATGGTCAGAAATGACAGCGCTTTAATTCGCTTTTTTAAAAATCAATATTCCTATTAATGAGAATATGAATAAAGGAGATGACAAGTAGCCGCTGCTGCTGCTGTTGGTTATGGCGCTCCTGCTCTTTGAGTTAAAGTGAATGGCACTTATGATATTGCCCCGTTTGGACGGTGATGGTAAGACAAGCAATGCATCCTGGGATCTTGAAGTGAATTAGTGATGCATCAACCTCATGCATGAATAATACATCAATAATAGCCTGATTTTACACACGATCCATGATGCTGAAGATACAGATGCAGAGTAAAAATAGCATACTGTCAATATTTTAGAGACCCCTCCAAAATTTCTACAAATCATCTTTTCGGGGGGGGGAGTTCATTTCTTATTGAGAGGAGCCAAACTCCCTGTGGCTCCCCTGTAGTTTGCACACTGTCTGCAGGCAACAGTGAGGCACTGTGGAGATTCCTTGCAAAACTGGGGTTGCTGAGAATACAGGCAGATCCTTATACATCATGCATTACCATCAGGGAGGCGTCTGATTGGCCCCAAATCATTCTGCAGCATGATAACAACCCCAAACATACAGCCAGAGTCATTAGGAGCTATCGACAGTGACAAGAAGAACAATGAGCCCTGCAGCGGATGTATGGGCCTCGCAGAGCTACGGTTTCAGCATCACAGAGGAGAATATACGAAGGGACAGAAGCAACTAAGGCAGAGAAGCTGTGGCAATTTTTTTGCAAGATGCTTGGGACAGCTTTCCTGCCAAGAAAGTGGTGCCGTTCTAAAGCCAAGTATCAATTTGATTTAAGTAGTTTCTGTTTACTGCACTGGGAGGGAAGTGATAAATAAAACTAATCATGGCTTTATTTTTTAAAAGGATCCTCACTTGTTTGTGAAACTTTTGAACCCATTGGAGAGAGAACCAAATACTGTTTGTCAAAGATGGATGCAGCCTCCAGATGAACAGTGAAGTGCCTTAAGCCTGCATTCTTTCTAACAGCCAGCAGGGGGCGGCTGCACTGACTACAAATGGCAGTCTGGTTGTATCAGAATCAGAATCAGAATCAGAATCAGCTTTAATGGCCAAGTATGTACACAACATACAAGGAATTTGGTTTCGGCTGTTGGTGTCGCCCTGGGAATTTGCAGGAATAATAGAAATAGGAAAATTCAAAAAATAAAATAAAATAACTACAGAAAGAAAAGAACAAAATAAAATACAATAAATATTAATAAAAAATAAAACAAGATAATAAGTATATATACTTGTATATAGTGTATATAGGACTGTTAGAAAAGGATCCTACTTCTCATGTGATTTTTCCCTCAGTAAATGTTTCCCGAGTTAGTTTATGTTCTCATTTGCTAGTTTTATGTCTTCAGTCCAGCATCACAGAGTTCATTTAGTAAATTAAGGTCCGATTTGGAGTGAAATAGATGATTTTTCTTGTGACTGACAAATTGTGACCTCTTAATCATGACAGAAACGTAGGAATGCGTACCCATGGCATTTTGTAGGTTTTAATTACCGTGTCTGACCCATTAGCAATGTGTTTTCAGTTTATGTTTTAGGAAAATGTACAATCATGCATGCGCCTTGCTAACAAACTTGCTGGCAGGCTGATCTGACAGAGAACCGAGCTCCCTGCTCTTATCCAACATCCAGTCACAGCGGCTTCATCCATCTTTTACATTCAGTCTTTGAACATAACACGGGCGTCTTCAAGAGGCAGTAACATTCAGTACCTGTTTGTTGCCCTTTTTTTCATCCGAATTCTTTTTGTCAGACTTTTTGTGGGCATCAAAAGTGGCGGGGTCGACTGTGTATAGACATTCAGTCCATTTGCCATATATTGCACAAAGCTTCTTTTTGCTGCAAACACACAAAGAACAGACGTTATTAATCACAGCTTTTTGTTACACGACACTCAGTACGTCTCTGACAACTATGATACGTTATATTATAAAATGTCTTGTTATATAACATGTGACAAAGAAGTCATTTATGAAAAATTCACTTATTGCTTCTTGGCAATACCAAACACTATATGTAATGAATGGCGATACCTTTTATCTAGGATGTATCCCTCGACTTTATGGAGCTCTTTACCAAAGAGGCCACAGGGTTTGAACGTCATGCTGCATCTCTCCCCGGTTCTGTAACAGAATGACAGCCTGTTTACCAATTCTCTTTCTTTATTCTCCTTCTGCAAGCCGAGGCTTTCAAACATTAATTATCGTGCTCTCGCTGTTCTATTCTAATGGCAACTGTCCCAGTTCTGCTTCCATGATCAATAAGCTGGACCTGAAAGTAGATCAACAATCCTCTGCAGAGCACAAGGGAAAAAAAAAAAACCAGAAAAGATATTCTGCACCCAAGTCTCTGTGCATGCAAATACACTACGCAAGCATGTTATATAGAGAACAGTGATGAGAAAAGCATTTCCTTTACTTGTGATTGATCACTTCCACGTTGCCGTACTGCTCAATCCAAAGCTGACCGACGATGATGTTGTGGACGCAACAGGTGGGGTTTGTCCAGGTGTAGGCTTCATTATATCTGCAGAGGAACAGAAGCGCTCAGCAGAGACAAAAACAAGCCTAACTCAAAGGGAATCAGCACAGTCTCAGCGCTGTGAACTCACTTGGGCAGCTCCAGTGTGATGATTCCCTTGGGCTCAGCTTCTATGCTCTTTCCCCAAAACTTGAGTTTGGGGTATATGGAACCGTGGAAGACAAAATCCTCCTTGAAGCCCTCAGCGTGAAAGGCACTAACCGGAGGGTGATGGCTCACTTGCTCTGACACCCATCTGAAGCCCAAATCGTCTCTGATGGGAGAACAGGGATTTGTTTGGTGCTGCAGAAAATCCACTAACAAGATACACAGCTCGAAACTGTGTCCAGATCGTTTTGTGTATGGGCGTGCTTATGAAACATATTTGCTGATGAGTGCTGATTTCTACTGTCTTACCTGATTAGCTCATAGGTCTCCCCCAGTAGTGGGTTGAAGGGCTTCCCGGTCCTCTCCCACTGCGATGCTACAGCTGACACAGCAAACGCTGCAACACACTACGGAGTATTGTTTTGCTTTAACCAAATTATAGACAACTAATCGAATATTTGATAGTGATAGGATGCCTTTGCTGCTGCTTTGAAAACACTCTGATAGCAGGAATTTAAACAGTACTATATGAATTGCTAGAAAGCAGCTCTACTGATCTGACTTGATTCAAATAAACAATGGCATCACTTTTGGAGATCAACTATTAGAATAAAAAAAAATGAATGTAAGCGCGGTGGTACCTTCATCCTCTCGACAGAGTCTGTTGTGGCATTTGCCTGGTGGATGAGGTAGGTGTGCTCCATGTATTCTGTTAGCCGCTGGAGGAAGCTCAGAGGCTCATTAAATATCACAGGCATGGCAATCTTTGATAACTCCTGAGAAGAAAACGAGTAGGGGAAGATAAAAGACACTGAGAGGGCACAGGCTGATTCTTGGGCAAAGGATTATTCCAGTTATCTGCTCATTAGAGAAAGCTCAAAAAGCAAATGCAATCCAGTATAGCAGAGTGATATTGCATCGGTGCAAAGCTAATATGTTGCTTGCAAATCAGTTTATTGACACATTACAGGCTGCATTCATTTACTGTGAACGATTACTTACTTTAGAGAAACAAAAAAAACTGGCAATTTTCTTGTATGTGTTTACACGCACGGCCAATTAAGCAGAAATATGGCTGCAAAGAAGGTACCGATTCTAAAATGTGGACGCAGAAGATTTATGCAATCATGTAAAATGTGAGTATTGTCACCATCTCCCCACCTGTTCCTTAGTTACTGCATTTACTTTGTCCAAAGAAAACAAAACAAAGAAGAGTTTTGGGGAGTGTTAATGATATCACAGTGAAGTTGACCTTTGACGTTTTGATATAAAACGTCATGACTTCATTATTTTAGACATTTGCGGGAAATTTGCATCCCTGAGTCCAAATGAGCATTTGTGCCAAATTCCCTTCGGGGTGTTTCCAGCGGTACCGTGTTAAAAAGAATGGGATGTGGATGGACAGATAACCTGCCACACACCCACGCTGTTGCCCAGGCAACAGGAGTATGCCGGTCTAGTTAGTGTGCTCATGGCGGATCCCTCAGCAGTGACTTCTACATTTAATGAGGAACTTCTGCTTTCGCTGACATGTTCGCCACCTTTCTGACTTTTAGCTCAATGCTGTGTGTGCAGGGTACCTTAGAGAGGCACAGACAGGCTGAATGGACTAATTGTATTTTACACATAAGCAGAGAAGAGACTGACCTCCACTTTTTTCTTTGTATTTTTGCTGTTCAGTACATTTTTATGCAAGTAAATGTACTCTCACTTCAGTAAAATGTCGTTATACTAACTGGTTTATTAGAATTAGCAACGTTTTAGAACAAAGTTTGGTTCTTTTCCAACAACTCACATGAAATAAAAAACCAAAAATCAAGATTAATTTTCTCAAAATAGCAAATTAAAGCGTAGCAAGCATCTATTTGACTGTAGATGTTTTTTTTTCTTACCATGCCGATGCATTTTTTCAGGATGCTCCAGACGCTCACGTCATTCCTGGAGAACATGGGAGCCGGTAGAGATGCTCTGTGGGAAAGCAGTGTAAAAGGTGGGTTTGATATCCATTTCTGTCTCAATAAAATAACACATCAGCTTTTAACTATCGACAGTAAACCACTGGATTGTTTATTTTGCCTCAGCCGTGCAGTTTGCAGCAGGCAAACACCGGCACATCAGGATACGTGATCCGTCTGCGCTCAAAATTATTTACTTTTTTAAAATGTGGCACTGAGCACAAATCCAACACCTGAGGGTATTGGATAAACTGCACATCAAAACCATTAGTTTGTCTGCCGCATTTGTGAGCTTGTAATTTTAAAAGTTTAAAAGCTTCAGAGCCGACAGCTTAGCTTGACCCACCATTTGGGAATAAAGGTTATCTGACACCTGTAAGCTAATGAGCTTTCAGCTGCTCTGTTCAAGCCTCATGCAATACCCATGAATGGATGGACCTGTGTGTGTGTGTGTGTGTGTGTGTGTGTGTGTGTGTGTGTTTTCAATGCTGGCTGTAAGACGCACTCCTTTAATTGTTCTTTTCGCATATTATGGTCGTCTAAAAGCACTATACAGTCTGAATACCATTTAGATCAAAGCCTGGATACACACAAGCACTTTCCCCACTTTGCTCTAAATCTTAGCCTCTAATGCTTGACTGAATTCAGTGATCGATGTGACTGAGGTTATTTTACAGTCTTGCCGCCATCTGCAGCGCGGACCGTTTCAAAAGCAGCATCGCAGCTATAGGCAGATGGTGTCCAACATGAGTGCTGGAGCAACTACACAAATAAAAGCGATTATTTCAGCTAAATAAACAGTGAGGTAGGGAGAGAGGGGTTTTTGTTCTATTTGTAGGATGAGCAGAGCAGTGATGCATAGCAGACTATATGTCTGGCCTAGTTTTTGTTCCACTAGCCGCTACTCTTCGATGTATTTAAGCATGGAGGATTTCTCTCATTAGGCGGAAAAACGGAAATATAACAGGAGGGGTTTTTCTCATTTGTATCTACTGCTGAATCTTTCTAAAGATTCACAGGAGTCTTTGGAAGCTTTAAGGCATCGTTTTTGAACAAGCTGCTGAAAACTTTTACCTATTTATCTGAGAAGATGGACAGAAATGCTCATTATTATCTTACAGCTCTTCAGAAATGCAGATAAAACGTTTTTTTTTTGGCAAACTGGCACTGTTCAATGGAGGAAACATAACTTAGAATACTTTGAAGCATGAATTTCTAACAGATGGCACTGTCCATGGTTTAGCTAATGAAATCCATCTTTAAATCATTGCATGCATGAAAAAAAACGCCACTAAAATATTACATTCTTGTCATTTTAATTTAACATTTTTGGACATCCTATAGAGAATTTATTGCAGGACATTACTATGGATAGTAAAAAGTGAGAGAAAGACAACCGGCCCACATACAGACAACTGCTAACAGACGTATCTTTGAATGACAGAAGTAATTTCAAATAAACAGACACCTCATAAATCTTTAATGCACAACACACACAAGCCTACACATATGCACACAGAGCTAGCCAGCCAGCCCGCCAGCTCTTTTCTCCAGCTCTTCTCTGAGCCAGCACATGCTAAATTATTCATGGATCACTTGTTGGATTAAGGAAGAGAGGCCAAGCCAGAATCAGCATGCTAGGAAATGAAAGAGATTGTCAAATTTTCACAAAAAAAAAAAAAAAAAGGACAGAAAAGAAAAGGCAACAGAGTGCTCAATTGATTGTTCACTTAGAGAATTGGGGCCGTCAGGAAAAACAAAACAGGCTATTCTCTGTGGATTGGGTGATCCGGCGAAAACACCTGACTACAAAAACAGCCCGGAGTGGAAGGGTGGTATCTCATTACACTAACTCTGCCGGCTGCCCTATCCTCTTGCCGACTGAGGTCTGCAGCCTATCATTAGATACCAAGTCATACGCAACAAAACTGAAGCCATTCACCAATGCCAAGTTATATCCTCCTCAATCCTGCTACCAGCTGTTACCTTAAACAAAAGCCTTGCATATAACAAACAGCGAGCAGGCTGCCCGCGGAGCACCGAGCGCTTTGGATTTTCCAGCAGACTCTTTGCAATCATTTAAACCGGTAAACAAGCATGACATCATAACTGGAGCATGTCCCACCTGTGCTTCTTGACTCCATTGTGTTGGGCTGGTTGGTTGCCATGGTTACCCTCCCCTGACATTCCGGTAGGCCCCCTGTGCGCGCTGGGATGGCGGAGGCTGTTGAGAAGGGGGGCGTCTCTCCCCTCGTCCTCTTCGCAGGAGAGACTGGCCACGGACAGGAAGCCGCTCACTGAGAGCTCCGACTCGGACTCTGTGGGATGATGACAGATGAGGCCGGGCGCCAGGTCATGCCAAACAATCACACGCACCGGTTCGAGTAGCTGGCTCGGAAAGGCTCCGGCTCTGCAGCCCTAATAGCATACAGTCCGCAAATAAGCCCTCGTGCTTGGTTTTTCTCTCCAGCCTCCCCCTCCCTGCTGCTGCCAGGCAAACTCCACCTGAGGATTGTGTTCCAATGAGAGGCCACACAGAGGCTTCATTTCCTCTAACATTGTTTGCTCTGCGCTTTGCTGGATGCTACTCCTCCCCTAGACAGCTCTACTGTCAGTGACATTACAGGTACTGTCACAAGCACAAAGGAGTGGAGAATAGTGAGGGATTCGTGCACTTTGAGGACTGCGTGTGCTATTCTGGGATGGAAAGTGCTTATTGTATGTACTTGTATATTCAAGGATGCGTTGACAGAATTTCAGACAGCTGCGTAGATGTTCCCGGTAGCTGCAACTACATGTCATAAACATGCTCTATATAAAGATGTGTGATGAGGTTTCATGCATTCCGGTAAAACTGCTCTTTTGTCCATCAATGTACACTCAATAACCCATCGTACCAAAGTGGAAAACACTTTCTACAGACTTTTGAAAATACATTTAAAAAAACAAAACAAAAACTACAACATTTACAGTATTCATACCCTTTAATTATTAATTATTACATCGAACTGTGTCGAGAAACTTGAATGAAATCCAGCTGTGGCCAACTGAACTGCATGGGCATCCTTAACAAAGGCCCACACCTGTGTATATTGTCTGTTTTCTTTGTCCATTTTTCCCAGCTATCCTTTTTTCTCTTCACTTTACTTTCACCACAACTCGTCGAGGCAGATGGCCGCCGTCCCTGAGTTCTGCCGGAGGTTTATTCCTGTTGATGGGGGTCTTTTTTTCTTCCCAAATTGCTTGCTCAGAGAGAATCACTGGATTAGTTGGGTTTCTCTTTATAATGCACTATTGTCAAGTCTTTATGCTGCTATGTGAAGTGCGCTGAGATGATTTCTATTGTGGGTTGACGTATAAATACAAGTGAATTGAATGGAACTGAATTGTATTGAAAGGTCTGATGAATCACGCAACAGATGAGGACAAAAACCAAGTCATGAACTGCAGTGAACTCTCTGTGAACCTCGACGATAACACTGGGCCAAGGCATAGATCAGACGAGGAGTGTAAATCTGTTTCTAAAGCTGTGAGCGCTCCTAGTAAGTTTGCAACCACAAGGACTCCCCTTGAAATTGGCCAAACTGAAAGATGGGCCTTGTAAGAGGGAAGATTAAGAACCCAGCGACCACTACTGGGAAGACAAACATCTCTGCAGCAAACCATTCCATCCCTGTTGTGAAGCACGGTGGTGGCAGCATCATGCCGTGCTAGTGGTCAGAACTGACAGAGGGATGAATGCAGCAGGGTCCTTAAAGAAACTCTGGTCACTGTGAGTGCAGTGACCTGGGACTGAACCAGCGGTTCACCTTTCAGTACGACAATAACCCCGAAACACACCAAGCCAAGAAAACAGCAGAGCGGCTTCAGGACAAACCTCTGACTGTCCTTGAGCGGCCAAGCCAAAACCCAGACTTTAATCATCACAGAACGTTAGTGGAGAGACCTGAAGATGGCAGGCAGGAAGAAAGGAATAACCTCTCCTAAACCAGGTGTCCAAAGCGTCTGACCTAAGAAAACTAAAGCTGCAGTTGTTACCAAATGGACTTCTACAAGCACTGACATGTAGGTCTTATGAGAGTTTTAAACTTTGGTTTTAAAAACTACATTTTACTTTGTTTCTATTATATTGAGTGTACATTGATGGCAAAACTTGCATCTCTATCCATTAAGAACTGAATGTACAATGTAATAAGGAGCTGTAGTGCTTCTGTCTTCTCCTGAAATGATGTGCTGGTCTTGTGTAACCCAACAAACTTGTTGATTACTTAACTGTCCACCTAGAGGTAACCGACCTGACACAGCATCATAGAAGTCATCTCCAGTGAGAGTACTGAGGGTAGACCACCTCCTGCTCTTGCTCAAGGACTGCTTGAGTTCCTGGTGCTCAGTTGCCAAAGTCTGCAAGGCTTCAGTCAGAGCTTTGTTCTTCTCCACCTCCTGCTCGACCTTCAGGCTCCACACCTGCAGACACGGGACCAGCACACGGATCAAACACTCAGCAGACACAGTGTCATGTTAATGCTAATCTATCAGTTTACTATGCAACAGTTATGTGTACAGTACAGACTATATCGATTGCTAATATGCAGATAATGTTTGATTCAAAAGTATTCATCTGTTTGTTCAGCTGTCACTGCGGCTGCACGTCTGGTTCTGACGGCAGGTCATTGTTCTAACCCTGCCCACAGATCTGGTTTCTTCCAGGCGGAACCAAACACCCCAGTCTCAGAGAGCTCTGTGGCCCGGGATTGAGTGTCTCCTCAGAGCAACCTGAGCCAGGCCTCTGTGAGACAGACCAGATCAGTGTTTCCTATTGTCTAACACAGCCGATGTGCGTCCTTTACTAACTAAACAGAAGACGGAAAACTAAATAAAAATAGACAACTGCCACCATGATAGATGTAAGATAATACGATGACAAAAAAAGTTTCCCAAAAAAAACTGAAATTCTTCATATACTCTGATATAAATGCATCACAAAAAAGGGGAATAAATAAATAAAATTCACAAAGCAAAGAAAGTGCAGCGAGCATAAAAAATGGAGCGCAGCCTTCACAGTTTGAAAAACTTCCAGAGTCACCTTGAGGAAGGCAGTTGAGTCTGAGAGAAACAGGAGCTTGTAAATCACACTGTAAATCTGAGACTGCAAAGCGAGGCCAGTGTCTTCGATTAAAGATGAAAAGTTCAGCCTCATCCCTTATACCGCCTGAAGCGTTATCAGTTGTGCGCACGGCAATGCAAAAAGAAAACAGCAGTCAACGTGCTCAAGGTGGGTTATAATTTATGTCAGGAGCTGTGGGTGTGTGTGCGGCTCTGACACCGAGCAGCCACAACATTAAAACCACTGACAGGAGACGTAAATAACATTGACCATGTCGTCACAATGAAGTGTTCTGCTAGGAAAACCTTGAGTCCTGGCGTTCATGTGGATGTTACTGAGGCATGTCTCACATAATTAAACAGTGCTGCAGACCAAGCACATCCCTCCACGAGTTAATGGCTTTTCCAGAGGCATCAATCAGCAGCACACTGCACTAAAAACAGCTCCGAAATGGGTTGAGGAACACGAACAAGAGCTCATCCGGGCTTCCAAGATCTAGATCTGATCAAGCATTCATGGAGGAAGCCAGAAAAACTCTTACTCTGCATGGGACCCAACAAATTTGTTATTATAATGGGATATCATGTTGTGTAACACTGCCCTTAAAATAACTAATGTACAACACAACCTAACGTCTGTGTGACTTTCTAAAGTAATGCTCATTTTGACCTTTTTAAAATCACAGCCCTAGAAGCTGCAACTGTATTCTGTGAAATTGCTTCAGTTTCCTTTGAGGTGGAAATCAGTCGCACATTACAGATGAGGCAAACATTTACATTAGTACGGCCACTTCAAGGCCATTAATCCGGCACCCCTACCTGCACCTTTGAACCATGTTTATCATGTAAACTATAGGCTTTACAAACACGCTACTTACATCCAGTAAAGTGGAATTCTAATTTAGTGCACATGCATACAGAAAAGGTGAAGATGACTCCTGCAGCATGTCAAATATGCAGATCCTAGCTAAGCAACAGCCGCATTATTTATGTAAAATCACACATCTGTCATCACCCAAGTCCACAAATTCCCACACAAGTTATCCATAGCTGCTTTATATAGAGCTGTAGCTTTGTAAAACAGACAAACTGCATATACGTTTGTTTTTTTTGTGTGTGCAACTATGACAGATGCTCATCTTCTGTCACACGTGGTTTGACAACCGTCTACATTCAGACACGAACTCAACACAACTCACACATTTTTGCAATCAACACACTTTGCCATCCTATATGTAGGTCATATTCTCTGTGGAAGCAAAAACCCAGTGTCAGTGTGGATGCTCAGATTCTCATCAGTCATGTCCACTCTTGTTTGAGAAACGCATAAAAACGTCTGTGGTTTCTCCTTTCTTATAATAACTATTTCTTTTACACGTGTGTCCTCGCCACAAGCCTCTTTTTAAAAGCAGGGTTTTAAGGTAAACCACCTTCATGTTCAAGAGACTCTGTTCATGCTTCCTGTCCCAGGCACTTGGCTTGAGAGCCCATCCATGAGCAGAACTCTTTGTTGTGTAACTATCCCAGCCAGCTCTTTCATTCTCACTGCATCCTCTCGCCTGAGCACAAACAGCGCTATTTTAAGCCTTGCTGAGGCTCTGTGCTGTAGCTGCTGCTGGAGCCTGGGAGGGATGCTTCTCCTTGGCCAACACCCCAAAGGGTACAGCTTTTTACTCTGTTCTAAATTTTGCTTTCTCTGCTGCTTAGGGGAAAGCAAATCTCAGAGGCAAAATTATTATAGCGCTACACAGGGCTAGATGTAGCAACGGAATACACAAAAATACCACCAGGTACCAGTCTTCCCATATACGCCCAAAATAAAGAATCACTCGTAGATCAGGCTGGTATATATAAATAAAAAAAGTTAGAGGTCAGTTCAGTGCAGGTACCAACAAAGACATGCCCCGTAAAGACTGTCATAGGTGGGATATGACAAGTCAGGAAGTCAGTTACTTATGTGCCAACGGCTGATGGAAAGGTCAAACGGTACTTTGTGTTTCCTTCGATCCCTACGGTTTTAAAGGGCAATCTGCTTTCTTACACTGTCGAGAAAACATTATGAATCACTGTTGTGAAAAAAAAGATACCGTGCTGTCATTCTTCAGCTTTCAGAGCAATACAAACTGACAGATCTGCTAATCCACGTGTCACCGCCGAGTGGTTTCAAGCTGCAAGTCTCCATTTGTTTTCTTGACAGGTGCGAAAGCGTGCTGCCAGACAAACACTAAGAAAGGTTGGGCCAATAAATCTGCGCTGTGTGGGAGAGTTGTCACAATCCCCCTGTCCGGCGTTGTCTGTTTGCACCTCGATCTTCACAGCGTTGCTTTTGTCAGGAAGCAAAGTTAACAGCACAATATTCTCCACTTTAAATGCCACGTAGTCACCAACAAGTCACACTGTGGCCCGCGTGCACTGTGTAAACGTGGCATACTTGTAGTTCTGCAGCAGCTGCTGAACTGGGACAGATCACATCTACACTGCTCAAGGACAGTACTGTAATTGCCACAAAACCCTCCGAGCTATGAGCCGTGCTTCTCCATTGTACATCTGCCCAGCTGTCAAAGCACAATTACAGCAGCACATGACTACAGTATGTTTTGTACTGTAGGAAAAAAAAATGTGTAAGAGTCACCAGCAGATGCATCTGTGGCGGGACAGCGAAAATGAGGGATTAGAGTTAATACTGCTTAATACGGGCAATCTCAGCACTGTAGGAAATATAATCCAGTTAGTACATGTAGTAGCAGCAGTTTAGCAGGAGACCAGTGGATGTTCCCTCTCGTTAAACCACCCGGTTGGCAGAAATTAATTTAGTGTCCTTTTGTTATGAGATTGCTTTATTGCTTCTTGGGTGACGCAGTGAATGTCGTTAGCCTCCATCAGCTGTTGTTGCCAATTCGTATTAAGATAATGTAGTTTGGAAATGCACGGTGTAAACATGCTCTTCATGGGTATTATTGTGTAGTATTATGGACAGCTGAGTTTATTAATTAAGACATCTACACCCATGCATGGATGCAAAAGTCCTCTTTTGGCAGTTGAAGAGTCGATCACACCATCACCACTTATCAGCAGACAGTATTTTTGCAGCGTGCCAATTTAAAATGAATTGGTAATGAGACAAAAAGAAAAGACTGATTTGTATGATCTCTCGACCCCTAATTTAGGTGCTACAGATAAACAGCTGCTACGTTTGAACAGTTAAACCTCCGAGTCTTTATTTTAAATGCTCCTCTTTAAGCATTACCACATCAAAAAGGTCCTCGGCGCAAATTTAATGTATGCCCGTCCATGCACTTACTTTGACAGAATTCATTACTTTCTAAGATGATCTCATTAAACAGATGCACTGAGCAGCGTAGCATTCAGCGCCACTTCAAAAACACGCTCAATTTCACACTCGAAAATTCAGATCATTAAATCCATAGAAATGACCTCCGCATACTGATTAATAGCCCTTCGCTTGTGCCAGCGCTTCAGACCGAACCCCGCAAGTCGACGACAACACACGATAAAGAAAAACATCTGAACAAATCCACGCCAAACTTCAAACGCCCCAACGCTCAGTCACCGGCGATCAGCCTACAGCAAACACAGCCAGTTGTTACTGCTGACGCCAGAAGAGGAAAGCTGAGAATATTGTACAAGAACAACTGTTTGGTCTGGTACCTGTGCAGATGCTAGATGAAAGTGCCGTCACTGTCTCGTCTTGCTCCTGTGCACGGATGCTCTGGCATGTGCAAGTGTGCCTGCGAGCGTGTATTCTCACTGTGAGGGTGAATACATGTATCTCCAGCTGAGCCAGTGAATATGCAAGCGCTTGAGTTCCCTCGCTCAATGCACAGCCTTTCCCTAGAGCGGGAGAGTGTGGATCCTAGTCCAAGTGTGTGTGTGTGTGTGTGTCTACAGTGATCTGCAAGCTGAATGCAGACCTAAGCATAAAAGCGGATCTTGGCCGTGTCCTTCGTACACACACACACACAGTGATTACCACACTGTTCCAGCGCTTCCCCCCCCCTCCAAGGGCAGAGCGCGACCGCCGAGACAGGTGGACGGGGACACGCACACACAAACTTCAAACCTGATTGGTATGAAGGAGCCAACGTAAGGGGGAGGGGCTTGAGGATTTTGTAATCATTGAGTATAATTTATTCCACCAATAGGAGAGCAGCGCGTGGGCGAAGGTGTGGGAATCAATGAAGTGGAGATTCATACATGTTCAGTGAGCTGCAGCCGGTCTACGGAGCTGGTTTCTAGTCACAACGAATGAATGCAGAAGAGTCACTTAACTCCTCTGACATTATGACAGTTTCACATTCAAAGCAAACATTTAGATAATTGAATAAACCTTTGCACAGTTTAGAGCGGTTTGAATGCATTAAGTTATGCGTGAGGGATGGCACGTCGTCTAAAGTCTTAGCTAATCCAGCCATAATGAAGACGATTTCCTTTACCTCTTCTTGTCAAGGCACACATCTATCACCGCCCAAATACACAAATTCCCACACAAGTTATCCACAATCGCTTCATATAGATCTGTATCTTCATATTCTTGTAAAACAGACAAACTACGTACGCTGTGACGGATGCTCATGAGCGTCTTCTCTCACACGTGGTTTGACATCTGTCTACATTCAGACACAAACTCTACACTTCAGTCTAGAGGTAGCTGCGCTGTACAGTCTTAGTTTATCCAACCATAACGAAGATGATTTCCTTTACCTCTTCTTGTTTTGACAGCAGCTCAAGGCACAGATGGAGAGCATCACAAGCTTCACTGGCGAGTTCACTGGTTTCTTGGGCTTTCAGTAGAAGAGGAGCTGCCAGGGCTTTGAAAAAGAAAAGATAATGCACAATATGTGAAATGGCTCAAAATGTAGACGAGCTAACAGTTATTTAGTATTTCTGATCATGCTCATTATCAGTCATTTCTATGATTAATTCATCTACAAAAACAGTTGGAACCAGAAGTTTACGTAAACTGCATAAAAAGACATAAAATCTTTTTTTTCCAACAATCTGACATTAAATCAGACTAAACTTTTCCTGTTTTAGGTCACTTAGAATTACCAAAACTATTTCTATTTGCTAAATGCCAGAATAATGAGAGAGAGAATTTTTTAAAATTAATTTCTTCAAAGTCAGAAGTCTTGACCCAAGTCATACAATTTAAAGGCAACACTACCAAATACTACGGCAATGTGTGTAAACTTCTGACTTTGAAGAAAGTAATAAAAAATATCTCTCTCATTATTCTGGTATTTAGCAAATAGAAATAATTTTTGTAATCTTAAGTGACCTAAAACAGGAAAAGTTTAGTCACATTTAATGTCACACAGCGAGAAAAAAAAGGTTTTACAGTCGTCCTCAAATTTACTCCATTAAAGAAGGAAAAAAGTTTTTTTTTTCTTTTAAATTATTCTTTTAAACCACAATTCAAAAGCAATGTCTTATTTCTCTAAATTATAAATTAGCAAATTATATCTATTATTACTTTTTTCTAGTTATTTGAGTGAATATTGTAAATTTTGCCTTTTCTTTAATGGAAGGTTATGAATAAATTTGAGGACGACTGCATGTCTTTATATACACTGTATGTAAACTTCTGGTTTCAACTGTATGTAAAATGTCAGAATACCGAATACAAATTTCCAGAATCCAAAATGAACACCTAATCCAGGGGTGTCGAACTCTGGACCTCGAGGGCCGCAATCCTGCATGTTTAAGATGTTTCCCTCTTCCACCACACCCGATTCAAATGATCAGCTCATCATCAAGCTCTGCAGAAGCCTGATAACGATCCTGATCATGTGAATCAGGTGTGTTGGAAGAAGGAAACATCTAGAACTTGCAGGATTTCAACACCCCTGACCTAATCTTTCATCATTTTTTCTTCACAATAACTCTCTTAAACGCTGTCAAAACTGTTGATTTCTCTTCGACATTACTGAGTGACTCTGTGTTAAGTGCAGATTTGTCTGACACTGTTACCGAAATTCTCTTCATTCTTCACCATGGACAGAAATATCGACACTTCAGTATCCAATTTCTGCTGGTAGCTGCTGGCTGCCTGCAGGACAAAAGAGGCACTTAAACAGTGGAATTCCTTTACGAATCAACAAAACACACACAGTTTGACGATCATACACGGTTGAAACAAAAGCATAAAATACTTTCTTTAAAAACTTCTCATCTTAATCTTACCTGAACAGCTTGTGTCAGGCTCCCCGCTGCCACACCGCTGTCATCAGTTGCATCGCAGATCATCTGCTCTCGGACGCAGTGGCGAATGCTATAGGATGCATGTGCTTCAATAGCATCCAACCAACGCTGGAAGTGGACAAATACCATTAACCTTTTCCACATTAGTCTAACCATGCAGGTGATTTCTGTTCACAGAGGCGATGTAAAGAGGCAGATCTCGTCTCACTTTTCTCGTTGCCACCGAGTTTGTCTTTGAGGGGACCTTAAAATAATGCACAGTCTCATCGAAGCACCGGAGCATGAAGAAGCAATGATCCCACGGTTTGACCTGAAATGGCAAACGCGACATTATAATGCTTGCTGCGCTCGATGTCAAACATCATTATGTCACAAGTCGAGCGTGATCACAACTAAAACATGTATTGTCCGGGAAAAAATCGATAGTTAACAACGAGCCTCTAACCTCTGCTGCTTACCATGCAGTAGGCTTGTGAGAGAGACTTACAGCCCTGTTTTCTAACACCAGTCAGTGCATCGGCTCTAGAAAAAAACAGATCAAAGAGCACATAGACACCAGAAAGACAGTACAACATAAAACTTGAATTGTTGCAGCTGCAGTTCCAGTCAAGTTGCAGTTTACATCCGTGTCTCCCCAGACTCATAACACACGCAGTGAGGACTTTATTAGGTGGTTTAATAGGTGAAAGAGTTTAATAGGTGATCACACAACACACAGCTCAGTGTCTGACCTGATGTGACATCCGCTCACAATATGTCCCTCTGTTCCTCATGGTGTTAAATAATGTTCAGAAAAGCGTTTTTGCAGAACACTATGATCTCACAGTAAACTTTCGGGATATTCAATGTCACCACTATATCATTTTATCCTATTAGACGTTTGTTAAGGTACAGTGACCTTGACAATTGAGCAGCACAATCCAATCAGCCACATCCTTGAGTCCAAGCGGATGTTCGTGCCAGATTTAAAGAAAGTCGCTCGAGGCCTTTAAGTGATATCATGGTCATGAGAACAGGACGGGTGGAAAAAACATAACAGCTGTAATCTACCCACAGATCGCTTCATCCCAAGTAAGAATTATTTGGAGGAGATGAGATCTGCTTTTATTTGTGCCACTGCAGGTGTTGTCTGATTAAAGACAGTTACATGTGCATATTATAGTTTTGAGCTATAGATAAGAGTTATCTCACTGTCTGGGGTACCAGGACATAGTTCCATTCTCAATTACCACCCAGTGGGATCGCCATCCAAGAAAGCGTGAACTCTGTCAGAGACACAAAAAGGCAACGATGGGCAGCCGACATAACAACAATAAATCACAGAAATCTCTAAATAGTAGTGAATTATTTCAGAAAATTATAACAAATTAATTCAAATGCAACCTTTTAATAAATAAAACACACAGAATAACTATTAAAAAGTAGTGTAAAGGTTTTGTTTTTTTTTTTTAAATCAAGAAAAGAAAAAACTATCCATACTGCCAAATGTGCACAGATATAGTCTGCACCATGTCTGGCCTATGAGAGAAAGAGAGTACACTTCAACATCTGGGTACCTTCCAAAGAGGGCCTTCAATCTTCTGCACCCCACTGCTCACATCCTTTGTGGGAAATAAGAAATAAGAACAAAAGTGTCAGACTCATGTACAAACAAAGCCCGACGAACAGCAGGGCTGAATAGTTTTTGATGAGACCACAAACACACAGCAGAGTAAAACCTGTATAGCTTTGGAGGCAAATAAGACGTTTTCAAATCCATTAAACAGCTCAGTGGGTAGCACTTCTTGTTTTCACCATGACTATGCAATGCTCTGCGTTGAACCTGTGCCAGGCTTTTCAGACATCCAAGCAAAAGCAAAGACTGCTGACTTGTAAGACTTTTTCTCCACAGTTAAGACAGTTGTCTGCACGTCACGCCCTATTGTTAAGACTTGGTGAGGGTCACAGAGTTCTTTCTTTCCCTAAAAGAGAAAAATGCAAATATCCAGTCTGTGATTAAGATGCTGGACACATAAAGTACTGTCAGTAAAGAAAACGATGTTAGAGGAGAGGCCAGAGGATCACCAAATAATAAAGGAGGGCCATGAATTAAATAGCAGTTTAATAGCAATCTTGCTGAAAGATGAAATAAACAGTGCAACAGATGGGCAAACTGCAAGAAGAGCATGTTGTTAGCCAATCAAAACACTGGATTGAAATAAACATGACTGTAGAAGAATGCCAGGAAATGTGCAGCTGTGCCTTAAATGTTTTTGGCAGAAGCTAACGCCATATTTCAAAATGAAAAGTAGATTAGAAACTACTGATCTCACCTTATCTTGATAGGCTGCTAGAATCTGCTTCAGTTCATCAGTGCGAACCAGGTCCAAAGCTGTCTGGTCTGCAACATCATCAGCAGTACAAACAATTTATTATTACTTTCAGACACTGTGTAGGAACCAAACCAGCAGATCACAGTATTCACCACGCTTACAGATACTGAACTGCTTAGATAATTAACTGTAATTCCAAAACAACAATTCTAACTATTGCTGAACAAAATAAATATTAGTTGGACTAATAAGAGCAGAGGATTAAACCAAGATAAGTAATGTACCAGTGTTGTTCCTGATGCCAGGGTTGGCTCCAGACTTGAGCAGTTTTATAATGCACTGCTTCTGCCCCCTGTAGGCGGCACAGTGTAAAGGCGTATTCCCCACCGAGTCCCTGCAGTGGATATCCGGAGCGTCTTTTCCACTGAGCTGAAGAATAGAAGTCAGTTGAACCACAGACAACAGCTTCAAGCAGAAGACATTGACATTTACCTCTTTCATTCATCCGTGCATCTGCAGTGGGATCTTATTTCAAGCTAAATCTCTAAACTATTAATTTCAAACCAGTGGAACAATAAACAGATAAAAGGACAATTAGAACTCAGATTATAAAACTTGCAATGATGTGCAAAACAGAACACGTGGATAGAACAGCTGACACACGTTTTCTTGTTTTTGGCAGTTCAACACCTAAATTTTTCATTCCTTGATTGACATCAGGCCAGTTGAATGTGCAAACAGAATAAAAGTAATTCTGTTGTTGGTGCATCTCGGCAATCTCAGAAGACAACTAAAAGCTGTCAGAGACACTCGTTTAATGTGCGAGTTGGAGGGAGATGCTCTCAGAATGTAATATATTCTGTCAAAGTTCTTAGAAAGGTCAGACGCTAACCAATTTCGACAGAGTCGAGATGTCTCCCTCTCTGGCTGCTTCCAGAAGCTTCTCCTCCCGTCTCCTTGTCTCCCGTCTCTCTGCAGCTGCACAAACCAAACAGTACTTGAGAACAAAGGCAGCTGATCCGTGGTAATGAGAAGCCATGTAAAAAAACACTCCCGTGATTTCATACCCTCCAGCATGGTAATGATTTCATCATCCTCCGTGACATCTTTAGGGATTTGAGCTGTTCCATTGATTATGTTGGCACAGGCATCATACCGCAGCAGCAACAGAACAATCTCCTTAAGGGTCCAAAGTAAGGGGAAAAAAAAAATCTGAATATCACCTGTCATCAGTCAAAGGCTTCGACAGGAGACAAGAAAACACAATATATTATCAGAGTCTGTGACACTTGTTCCAGCTGACATCAGGCTGACAGAAAAGCAACACAATTTACAAACGCAGACAGCATCTCTTGTAAGCAATAAATATTCGTACCTTTCTTCCAGTAGCTGCTGCTTTGTGTAGAGGTGTGTCACCCATGTTATTCTGCAAGTTCACATAAGCGCCTGCCTGCAAATGCATTCCTCATATTAAATTTTTCGGGCTGCAAGTAATGAACCCAACATGCAGAGTGTCATATACATCTATCCACAACTCTCACCTTGAGTAGCTCCTCCACAACATCCCTGTGTCCAGAGTAACAGGCCAGATGGAGGGGTGTCCATCCTGAGCTGATTTTGGACGTAGCTGTAGTCAGAGAAATGAAAATGAACTCTTTTGCTACATCTAAAGTCATGTTTGCTGGATAATAACCTGTTTTTCCCTCCTCCACTTACATCTGCAGTTGATATTCAGAGAGCTGTTTTGATCGATTCTCGACTGAAGGAGCATGTGGATATGAGAACAACTGCCCTCTTGAGCATAGAAGAGAAGCTGATCCTCCAGTGTGTCCTCCTCCATCATTGGACTTCCTTAATAAGAAAAGGTAATTGACGTTAAATACACGAGACGTGCCCCACGAGAATTGGCACAAATTAGCCAATTTACGCACGGATAAATACCACCTCTAACGGTAAACAGAGCTCATCACAGGCAACTAAAGACATTAGGTCAAATGTTTAGTCACTGGTCGACATGATAAGTCACTTTATTCAGCTTGTTTGCTTTCTTTTAGCTTAAGGGTGCGCAGATTTGAACAGAATTAAACGCGTAAAAGGGGTGAAATTAGCTTACCGGGATCGCCTGTTAAGTAACGTTGTCCACGACTCAGTGGCAAATTTTGATTTAAATGTGATGACTTTCAACTCCTGGTTCACGCAACTTTCACAGACTTTGGTGTGATTGAGAAGCACAACACTTCACAGCCGAAATTTGATCATTTCAACCAGCTGACAATCAGTCATCATGTGACCAGACAGCTGGTGAACCGGTGTGACCAGGGGCGCAGCGACAGGCGCTGTTTGACCACTGCTGAGAAGACTGAGTGCCCCCCACAAGCCCCAATCCAAACTACAAACAGTAGGCTAATACTTAATAAATAATAATATATAATAGTAATAAACAGACCGGCGACAAAATAAAAGAAAAACCACATGTGGCCAGAACAGCTTCAGTGTTCAGCTCCTTGATGTTGATTCTCCAAATCTCTAGAGCTTTACTGGCGGGACAAAACACTCTCATTCAATATTTTTTTCTTTTCCCTCATTTGGTGTTTTTATGATAGTAGTGGAAAGCTCAGCCAGATCTGCCACTGATGTTCATTTTCTTGCTCATCGGACCATCCGGTGACCCTTCGTGCCCTTTGGATGAGGGCACTGCCATCCAGGAAAAGATCGCTCCAATCAGGATAGAAATGTTTCATCGTAGGGTAAAGGTGATCACCCAGAACAGCTTTTTATTGATTTGCAGTGACTCTTCCCGCTAAGCAGACATGTGAACCCAAACTATGGCAGCAAAATGCCATACAGCAGAACAGAGCCACCAGAACCCCTCACTGTAGGGGTCAAGGGTGCAGGTTTTCCTTTCATTTGTCACCCACCTGTACTTCATCACTGAGCTTTTAATCTCTTTTCAGGTGTAAACTTTTAAGAATTGTAGTTTAGTTCCACAGCACACCAGTGTGTCCAACTGTTAGGTCAAGGCTAGCCACTCTTTCTCACATTTCTCACTTAATTGAACTCACTTTGAATATTTCTTGCACTAGTTTTCCAGGCCAAAAAAAAGGGTTTACAATCCTTATTCTAAGACACACTCTCACCCACAGCAGCAGCAGTTATCAGGAATTTAAATTGGCAAAGGTAAACAGCTCTTTGTTTGTGAGAAAAAAAAGCAAATCCAATCAAAACACTTTTACTTGATTGAGTCCATAAACCTAACCTAATTTTCCCAAATTTTTATTATTATTATTTTTAACTTTCTAGGTGTATCCTGCTTTCTGAAAACTTCTACAGCACTGAGTCCTCCCTGTCGTCCTGTTTAACACGTCCAAGCCGGTGCAAATCCCTCGACTCACCCAAAGTCTGCCAAGTTCAGCCCACTCAGTTCCACAGCTTTTAGGGAAATTGTGTTTGCGTAAGGTTTCTATAAAAGAAATGAAAGTTAAAAAAAAAAAAAGGCTAAAAGAACAAACTAACATTACAACCACATCCTTAGCCATGCCACTTTAATTGAAGCACTTATTTGGAAGATGAAGGTTATTACATTTTGCTTTCGGGTTCAATTTTGACCTTGCAACTATTTTGTGTGCACTCACTTATTCATGCAAATGGTAATTCTGATTGACACGCATTTATTTGTCAATGCTTCCGGTCTGCACAATCATTTCATCTCCTGTCCAACACATTAGATCCTAATCCAACATTACAAACTGTGTTTCCAGATGTCAAATATTCCACCACAACAGTGGAAACGTCAGCATTGAATCAGTCTTGAAACTATGTGCGTCAGAAATTTAATCCTCTATCGTGTCATTTCATATAGCATAATATTTCACATAACCGGTCCTGCACAGTGTTAATACACCTCTAACCGAATTACACGCCTGAGAATTCTGCTTTCGTGCACTAGATGGAAGCATTCGTGGGAGCAGGTGATGTCTGTTGCGTTCATTTGATCCGTTCCTGCCAGAAAAACTGTTTGAGGGGCGGAAAGTAAAACGACACAGAAACCTGCACGCCACATTTTTAACCCTCTCCCTTTAATTGTACCAGGCTCCTGCTTTAAAGGTCATTCATCCTAGATGTTTGAGACTCTGTTATTCTATCTAGAAAAGTGTAGCTGCAAACGTTTTTCTTTTTTTTTGAGGTACTAAAGGTCAATTCCCTGTGTGTGGCTTTGAGGGCCCTGCTTATTTCAAGCAATTAGGTCCCCTGAGGTATGTGCACATTTGTGAGGGAAGGTGAAGCGAGGTCATGAATGTAATGAAGGTATTTCAAAGATGAGTTACTCTGTCACCTGTAAGAAGAGAGAGAGAGAGATATTTTAGGGCTGTGCTGATCTTAGCTGAGCTTAGTAAAAGGGAGGTTATATATACAGTAGAGTAAAAAAAAAAAGAGAAACATTTAAGGGGGTAGATTTGTTGACTGAGCCACATTTACAAGCAGCGACGCAGAGGTGGGCCGTTTGAGTCTGAACGGTCACAGCAGCGTTTTAAACAAATCTGTAAGGCAACGCTTTGTTCTGCGAGTTTTCAAAGCAACACGAGACGACCAGCAGAGCTCCAAAGAGACCGCTCAGCTGTGCTCTAATTGCAGATAAATCTGTCAGAATAGCTGCGGAATTCAGTCAAGGCTAACAAGACTTCATAACAATTATGCCAAACAAAGCCAAACTGCTCTGACAAAAGAGGAGAAACAAAGCGAAAGAAATGTGTCGCCCAAATGCTTTCTGTGCATTATGCAGCCGTTTGACAAACGCAATTTATCTTCGCGGCGCTGTCTAGCGTCTAATCGCAGTAATATGTTGTATTTATGAACACACTGCGTATCAGTCACTATTATTGGTGACATAGCTAATTATAATGGTTTGGAAGTTACGGAAACACCGCTGCAGACATTAATCAAAGCATATTCATCAAATCAGGTCTGGTGAGGGAAAGAAGCGCACTGGGTTAGTTCCTGCTAATTAGCATGGCAATTATTGTAAGCTGTCACAGTTCTTAAGCAACGGGGTGGACTGTGTGTGCTCCAGAGCGTAATCCCTCACAAATTACAAGATAATGGAGGCAAAGAGAGGCCACTGCTTCAAAAGGAACCAGGAGATAGAATCCCCAGCAGGGACATTTTAGGGACAGGCAGAGAGAGACAGCGAGCAAGGAAAAGGTAGGAGGGGGGGAGTACAGCATGTATTCCCTTCACATAGAGCAGCCTGAATAGGGGAGGCTTGTTTGACAGCTTTGTAAAAATGATTGGCTCCAAAGGAAACAGGCCTCAAAAGATCTTTTCACTCATTATGTGTCTTTTAGCTGTAAAAATATTTTGGCCATAATAGCCATCAAGTCTCTTTTCTTATCACATTTTATGATGCATGAGGTCAGCGTTTGCTTCGACCAACAACCACTGATCTAAAAAATCTTCTCTCTACGAAGCCAACGTGTGGGATTCTTACCTGTGGTGCGAAACATGTCTGTTTTAACGTCCCCTTTTGTGTGTTCTTGCAAGCTGAAATGATAAATGCCAAAGAGGCACGGAGTACTTTTAAGTACAGCAGTCCAGCATTCCTAATGGATTGTGGATAATTGTGCTGCAAGAAATACTGACCCCATTTCTAGCTTACATTAACTAGAGGTCTATATATTCATATTATAGTGGAATAAAGAAAATGCGGGCTGCACGGTGGAGCGGTGGTTAGCATCGTTGCCTTGCCTCTGCGTGGAGTTTGCATGTTCTTCCGGGTTCTCTCCGGGTTCTCCGGCTTCCTCCCACAGTGCAAAAACATGTTGAGGTTAGTTAGTGATTCTGGATTGTCAGTGGGTGTGGATGTGGGTCTGCCTGGTTGTCTGTCTCTAGGTGTAGCCCTGAGATGGACTGGTGACCTGTCCACATGTCCCCTGCCTTCACCCTGAGTCAGCTGGGATAGACTCCAGCCCCCCATGACCCCAGTGAGGATTAAGGTGTAGAGATAATGGATGGATGTTGATTCACATGTAACATATTGTGATTGGAAAGCATTTGGATCGGCCAGATCATATCGGATATCAGGCAGGTTTAAACGCAGTCGCATCAAGCAGATCCAGTGGAAACACCTGTGCATCTGGACCATGACTATGTGGAAGTTTTAATACATTTTTAAGACGGAAAAATATTAAACTTCTCCCAATAAAATAGTGCAACAAACCTGCCTGGAGGAAGGTCCATATCAACTTTGTTAAACAGACCAAACAGGTAAAAGCAAATATGTGGGAGAAGCATGGAAACATAAACCTTTAAGATCTACTGTATTTTGCACCTCCGATGCTAAAGTTGTTTTAGTAACTTTCAGGAAACAAGCATGCATACGTATTTAGCTGTTTTATGTTCCCGCTCTTCATGTGGAAATAGAGGCCAGGCGCCACATTTATCACAAAGTTTACAGTGTTTAATAAAGTAATTTTCACTTCCAAGCATAACTCATCACCAGACACATGCATTGTTTCTCCAAAATGCTCTCAAACGCATTGTCTCTCGCTTGAATGAGCCCCAGTGCATCATCAGCATTAGCTATTATTTTCCCTGGGTATTGTTCAGCAGCACTGAAAGGTGTCAAGACAGTGGAGCATTTATATTCATATGAGGACGTTCATCTTTAAAATAATCGCTTTAACGCTGCCTCTCATTGCAGGATGGATGGGACACTATTTTGGGGGACCGATTATTGTCTGTTAACCTTTAGCATAGAGAATTGAACCAACAACC